CCCCCCCCCCGGCCCCACCCCATTAGCCTTGTCCCCACACTAGCAGCCCGTCCCCAACCTGGAGAGACCCGTCCCCATCCCGCAGGCCTCGTCCCTGTCCCGGGCGGCCCGTTTCCATCCCACATCCCCATCCCGCAGGCCTCGTCCCCATCCCAGGTGGGCTGTCCCCGCCCCGTGGGCCACAGCCCAACCCCGGGAGTCCTGTCCCCACTCCGTGTCCCCATCCTTCAAAGCCTCGTCCCCATACTGAGGGCCAACGTCACAGGTGGGGTGTCCCCAGTCCCTCTCACACCGCTCTGAGTGACCCGTCCCCATCCCAGGTGGGCTGTCCCCATCCCGTGGGCCACAGCCCAACCCCGGGGTCCTGCCCTCACTCTGTGTCCCCATCCTTGAAGCCTTGACCCTGTCCCGGGGACCTGTCACCCATCCCGTGGGCTATCATCATCATCATCATCACATGTGGGGTGTCCCAGTCCCTCTCACCCCCCTCTTGAGTGACCCATCCCCATCCCAGGTGGGCTGTCCAGCGCACGGGGTGTCCCCATCCCGTGGGCCACAGCCCAACCCCGGGGTCCTGCCCTCACTCTGTGTCCCCATCCTTGAAGCCTTGACCCTGTCCCGGGGACCTGTCACCCATCCCGTGGGCTATCATCATCATCATCATCACATGTGGGGTGTCCCAGTCCCTCTCACCCCCCTCTTGAGTGACCCATCCCCATCCCAGGTGGGCTGTCCCCATCCCGTGGGCCACAGCCCGACCCCGGAGGTCCTGTCCCCATCCCGGGGGCCCTCTCGCCCCCCTCCCAGGGCACGTGGCCGCGTGGGTACCGTGGTCCTTGGGCAGGTAGGTGAAGCGGAAGGACTCGCTGCAGACGCTGTCGGTGAGCCGCTGCAGGAAGACCTCCACCTCCACGGGCTCGGCCAGCTCCAGGTGCTGGTAGGGCGGCGTCTTGAAAACGATGGCGACCTGGCGGTGCACGTCGGCCTGCGAGAAGTCCGCCCGCGCCTCCCACGTCTCCTTCCGGAAAACCACCGCGATGTCTTCTGCAAGGATTGAGGGGGGGTGTGTGTGTCAGCGAGGCAGCGGGACCCCCCTCCAGCCCTCAAAGCTGCCTGCCGACACTTTGGGTCCCCCCTCCAGCACCCTGAGGTCCCCTCTCCTGCACCCAGGTCCCCCCTTCCTACCCTCTACACCTCCCACAAGCACCCAAGATCCCTCCCATCGTGACTTGGGGTCCTCTCTCTGGTGCTGGGGTCCTCCCCCTCCAGCCCAGGGGTCCTTCCCCTCCAGCAGAGGGGCTGGGAGGCTGCAGGACCCCCTTGGCTCCCCCTCCCAGCTCCCAACCCCATTTGGACCCATGCCCAAAACTTTCCAGCAGCTCCAGCATTCATCACCCTCCTTCACCCCCATCCTGGCTTTCCGGGGGGTAATTTGGCCCCTAAAGATGACCTCGGGGTTGCAGGGCTCCCCAGCTCGCCCCCCGTACCTTTCTGGACCTTGTCGCAGAGCAGGTAGAGCTCCTCGCCGCCCGTACAGGGACCGCTCTCCTTGTTCATCCGGCAGATCCGCAGCTCCGAGGTGTTGGTGGACTCTGCGGGCAGCAGCACGGCTCAGGCTGTGAGCCGGCAAAGCGGTTCCCAAACCGCCCGGGCATTGCACCGGGACCGGGCGTCGGACTGGGACAGGGCACCAGGACCAGGCTCAGGCACTGGGGACGTTCCCGTCGGCACCATCCCTTCCCGACCAGCCCTCGGCGCAGGGTACCAGCCCCGTGGGACGCAGGTGACCATCCCACCCCCGGCGTGGGGGACAAATCCCCACCGGCCACGCGGGACCAACCCTGACCGAACCCTGCAGCCTGAGCCGGGCCCCGGCGAGGAACCGGCTGGGGCAGCCTCACCACCCATCCCATCCCGGAGCAGGGAGGGTTCTGGGGGTCTGGGTGGCCCCACCAGAGACATGAACCCCTCCCCCTACCACATACTCTTGTCAAAGATGGGCTCCGAGAGCACAGGACTGAGGTGCCGCGTCTGCCCGGAGCTGTCCTTGTAGGAGGCCTGGAAGCAGATCCTCACCACGTTCATGTCCACCTCCTGGTGGTTCTTGAGGGAACCGGCTGGGGGAGAGGAGAGGGGACGGTCGGCGGCCCCACGGGGCGGGGTTGGGGACAACCCCACGGGATCTGGATCCCCCGCAGGGATAGGGTCTCGGCCCCCAGGAACAAGCCCCCGCTTGAGCCCCCCCACCTTTGAAGGGGTCGATGCCCAACTGCAGCTTCTTCTCTATCGCCGCCTCGATCTCCTTCTTCTTCACGCACTGGATGCCCAGGTTGCTAAAGCTGCCGGGGAGCAGAGACGCGCTGGGGAGGCGGCTCCTCCCCTCCAAAACCCCAGGGGAACCCAGGTGTCCTCCCAGCCTCCTGCTGCCCAGGGAACCCCCCAAAAACCAGCCCTCGTCCTGCCAGCGCCAGCTTCAGCATAAGCCGACGCCGGCATCCCACTGCAAGGTCTCTGCCCCGGCCCGGCACAAGGTCTCTGCCGGCGGCGGGACTCATCCTGGCATCGCGTACCTGTGCTTGGGGTTGGTCTGGGGCTTGAGGACGACCTCGCAGAGCCCGTTGCTGCAGTCCTTGCCCACCAGGCCGTGGGGGTGGACGCGGTAGGGCCAGTCCTTCCACACCAAGCACGCCGTCACCTTCACCTCGGGGATCGTGTGGCAGTTCAGCAGCTGGGGAGACAC